ATTAAATTAAACAATTCAGTTCCTCCAATCCATTAACCATATGCTAAATTGTTTATTTTTATACTGTTCCATTCTTTTACATAGGACATAAACCATGCAATAGGAGATTTTGGTAACTCTTAAAACTTCACTTATGAACCCCAGTACACTCACAAAGCAGTTCAGGAACATTAAACGATCCAAACACTGCCTAGAAAACTTTAGAAAATAATTCCCGTGGGAGAGCCTGCTCTAAAACTTGTAGAACAGGCTCCAGAAAACAAAAGAGCGGGCTCCAAATTCTTGGAGCCTTCTCTAGATAGGTAGAGCCGGCTCTACCTCTCCTAGAGCCGGCTCTAAAATGGGGGGGAGCCGGCTCCCTCCTCTTGGAGCCGGCTCTCTCCTTCTCTGAGAGCCGTCTCTTGCGTCTGCGCTTTCTGCGACCTTCTTCTTCAACGCTGGCCGCTTCCAACCTTTTCTATCTGGTTTTAAACTATTCCTAATAGTCTTAACTGTGTCCAGTACAATCCCCATGGTGTGTTTATAGCAGTTGAAATCCAATATAGAGATTACAAGTTCTACAAACTAAACATGCTTTATGAACACAATTTAAATCAGACATGCACGAACTATACTTAAACAGATTTCAACACATACAGAGCATCAATATAGTATCTAATATAAATGTAAAACTCAGTTCATGATTAATAAACCCTAGAGGCTACCTAGGTGCACAGAACATAAACCAAAGGGAATGAGGAAGAAAAGAACTTGCCTTTACAGTTTTGGATTCAAAACCATGTCGCCGTCTTCCTAAGCTTTCCGACGACGTCCAATTCACTGTTCAGTCTCCTAGGGCTCAATCTTCCCTTCTCCTATGTCTGTACTTCAAGCCACGGCCAAGCCCTCACCAAAGTTGTTCTGTCTGTTTCTCACAACCTCTCTGTTTTCTCTCTATATTATGCTGTACGTGTATAGGGTTCTAAACCCTTTGAAGACACATAATAGTATATATATAGGCACTAAGAAACTCTAAGCCCAATCCTAATCCCTGATGGAAAAATTAAACCATAATCTTAGTCGGCCTTAGTTAACGTAATATAAAACCCTACAATTTAATACACTAATAATGTAAACCTAATTAACTCATTCAAATAAAATAACAAAGCATTTAAACAATTAAAAGTGAATTTAATTCAATTAAAGAAAATAAAAATTACAATTAAACAATTAATTAATTCAAATAAACCTAATTAAAGAAAACAAACCATTTAAATAAAACAATTAATTAAACCAAACCACTATGCAAATTCAAATTTTGACACCTAAGTACATATTCACAAAATCAAACTAAAATTGCAAATAAAATAAAATTTAAATTCCAATCTTATCCTTTTGAAAATTAGGGGTATTACAGCCACCAATTTTGGAGAAAAATGAAGAACACTCCTTAAAATACAACCACTTCTTCTCCCTTTCAAGGCCCCTTTTTAACAATCCCAAAATGACTATTTGATTACAAATTTGGTGTCAAAATAACCCTCACAACCAACAAAACATTTTTCATTCACAAACCCCTCTCAAATTATCAGCATAAAGCTTTCAAAATAGAGCTTAAAAACATGAACCTCATGAAGAACAAAAAGGACGAAAGCTTGCAGACTACCTTTTCTGTAAAACCATATCAAAAGGGATATGAAATACACCTCATGCACCCTTATATGTTGCCAAGTACACCCCCTAGGTTGCAATATAAAAAGGCAAGGTTAGGATCATACCTAAATGACTATTTAGAGAAAAACATAGTCACGAAAACAAATCAGCAAAACAATTTTTTCTTTTTTTCTTTTCTTTTTTTTTTTTTTTTTTTTTTTTGGCATATTTCCTTCATATAGATTTCTATAAGTTATAATATGTATAAATATTGATTCATCACCTATTTAGGTGTCAAGTCCACATGATGGCCAAAAGTAAGACTTTGCAAAATGATCAAAAAGTCCTCTAACAAATACCAATTCCCATTCACATCATTTGCATGAAAAAGTCCACTATACCCTTTATAAAATAATCAAATGGCAAATATGCTATTTGCATAATAAAAGTCTATACTACCCCTCATGAAACAAATAATGACATTTAAATAAAATTAAACACATTTGCAAAAATAATCATAATCCCGACAATAAAATAAAATTGCATAAATGTCAACATGTCCAGAAAATGTTAAAAATGCAAGTGCTCACAATTACGTCGTTGTTAGATACAACCTATGTGTAGTACGGTTATTGTGTTTCTTAAATATAGGAACCACATATACTTTTTTGATACATTGGATTTTAGTGGAGCCCGGCCATGTATAGAGGTTGAGGCCACAACAGAACGGAAATGAATTTAAAATAAATAATTCAGAATTTTGTGAATTCCAAAGACGAAATTCCTTTTGTTATGGGGGAAGAATGTAATATTCCTAATTTTAAAAGGATATAGTCTCGGTATTTATTTAATTGCATTTTAATTATTTATTTGATTATGTGGCTATTTGTTTGTGTATTTAATTGAATTAATTATTTTAATGTAATTTGTTTTTGATATCCTCTGGTATTTGGATGTGGGCCTGGCCAACTCGCATTCGAAAATCTGGGAGTATCACATCATCAAATTAGTTTAATTTTTTTTTTCATAATTTATTTAGATAAGAAAAATATATTAAATATAATTCAATAAGAAGGGGCATTATGATCATTTCATGAAATATAGTATAGATACTGGGGTATGTTGCAACAAAATGTAATAGTTTAGGAGATTTTATGCACAAAGTATAGTTCAAGGAAGTTATTTGTAAATTTAAACATAGTTCAATGGTTTTTTTTGCACTTTACCCTATAAAATATCAAAATAATTAGAGAACCAAACTACTCTCTTTCATCTCTCTCTCTCTCTACAGACTTCATACCTTCGTCTTTTTCCCTCACACCCATTTCCACAGTCAATTGCCATCACCACAGTCAACTGCCATTACCACCCTATGGTTCTCCAACTTCATGGCCTCTCCAAAAACACTCTTCTCTCTAAAGTTTATCTTTTGTCTAGATGGGTAAAGAAAAAAAGGTTAAATAATTTATAAATTCGTCATACTTAGTCACCATCATATATATATATATATATATATATATATATATATATATTCTTTTTATTTTTGCGATTTCTTTCTGCAATCCGTAAATTTTTTTGGAAACTATAATGATTTTTCTTCCATTGACAACGACCAATATATAGAGAGAGAGAGGCTACAAATATATATACCCACATATACAGAGAGAGGCGACAGACACATAGTGATACCACACACACACACACACATATATATATATATCATATTATATTATGAATTTTTGATAGAGAGACGATGTGTGTATTTTGAGTTTTAGATTGAGAGACAGGGGGTTGTGTATATATATATATATATATATATATATAAAGTGTGTGTGTGTGGTTTAGGGATTTTTGGGAAATTAGGTGGTGTTTGGGTATGTGTGATTAGGTGTTTTGGATTTAAGTGTTGCAAAAAAAAAAAAAAAAAAAAAAAAAAAAAAAAAAAACTTCATTGGGTGTTCATATCAAGGTTGTTGCATCTTCTGACAAATAATCATGATTTTTCAATTCAAACATATACAAATTGAGCCAAAAACAAAGCACATTAAGCCAAACAGAAATTAAAAATTAGAGAGGTCCAAAACCTTGATCTGAAGAGTAAACTTTAGAGACCAAAAACAGTTAGATTTAGGGATCAAACCAACAAAGAACAACAACCAACCGGAAATGGTTAAGTATTGGTTGCAATATGGCGCCAATGAATGAATGAAAGAGAAAAGCTGTGTGGCGATAAGGTTGATGAGAGGAGAGAATAAACTAAATAGATCTGCAAATACTAAACTAAAATCAGGTTAGAAAGGTAATTTTAACATTCAAAGTGGCCAATATAAAAACTAAAGGGCAAAAATGTAAATTCATTAACATTGGAGGTCTTCAGTAACCTTATCAAATTTAAGAGGGTGTCGTTACTTAAAAATAAAGTAACTTGTATCAGTGTGTCTTTTTTGCAAACCACTTGCTACTTTATCAAATAAATAAATAAATAAAGATTCAATCGACACAAAATTCAATACCGAATACTCTATTTGTCCTGTATTACTTGTCACTTTAAAAATTTTAACTCAGTATTATTTTTTATCTTTAAATCATTTGAAATGATCTTTAATAATATTCAAATTTTAAGAAGCACCGGGCTTTAACCCAAATTAGTGAAAGATGTGCATAAAAAAAATGAGGGCCAATCTCGTCCATCGAAACTGTTTATAACAACTCTCAATCTTGGATGATTGCATTCTAGAAGCTTCCTAACACTGTGGATTTTGTCTCCAATAGTTTTCTGTCTCCACTGTGTTTGAAATGGGTGGAACAAAATTGGATTTAAAAATAGATTTTAAACGTTTGAAATGGGTGAGATTTTAAAAGAGTTTGAAATTTAACAGTATTTCATAGAAAATATGATAACTTTGATAAATTGTAAAATAATTGGGAGAATTTGATAATATTTGATAATTAACTACTTAAATACACTCTTTTCAAACAGTTTTTACATCTTTCATCTTAATCTTTTTTTCCATATTTCATTATTTCCTGTGTCTGAACCTGAAATAGAATTCTATTTTAAAACTTACAAGTTGCCGTTGAATATTTGGGAAGTGCCAAATTATTCCATGTAACAATTATTTTTCAAAACTAAATTAAGATTTTACCTAAAACCCATCTCACAAAGGAGGCAAGGTCAATAAAAATAAGAGGCAAACGATGAAGTTGGATAAAAATTGACGTCTCCAATAATTAACACGAGGACAAGTTCTCTCTGGTCCCACCTTATAAAACTTTGTACACCCTTGCTTTGACAAGTGGATACCATCCACATTTGGGACCCACCAAACTTCATTAAACGTCATCCCTTGCAGCACAAATCTCATCACATCCTCACACGCACACAATTTAACCACAAGAGTGCAGGGTAGAAGAAACAACACACGCACAAGCACAATGAGACCTCAAAAGCCCCTCTGTTCCTTCTTCTTCTTCTTCTTCTTCTTCTTCTTCTTCAGCTTGATCCTAACTCTATATCCAGCAGCAGCGGACCATGAAGGCCCAAGCAGCGGCACCAGCATAGTCTTTGCCACGACGGGTAGATCAAGATACGCCTTCGACATCTACACCGTTCCAACAGTGGACCCACCAACCAACGCCAACGAGCTCCGAATCACCGATGGCCACTCCGTCAACTTCAACGGCCACTTCCCCTCACCAACATCATCCTCAATCCTCTCTATCATACCCAATCAAACCCTCATCAACCTCATCTACGTCACAGAACGAAACGGATCCTCAAACATATATCTTGATGCAATCTATTACGATAGTCCCGACCACACCAGAAGACGATCGGCTCTCCAAGTCCCGATTAGAGTTCAAATCCCTCTGTTAGGCAGTGAACCGTCAATTGGTCGAATTTCAATGAAGGATAGGCCGAGTTTGGTGGGTGAGTACTTGGTATACGTGTCGACTCATGAAGACTCGGGCGTGCCTCGGACAAGTTGGGCAGCTGTGTACTCGACTCAGCTCGAAACCGGGTTGACTCGGAGGTTGACGCCGTACGGGGTCGCCGATCTCAGCCCTGCCGTGTCTCCATCGGGTGTTTGGACTGCTGTGGCGTCTTTTGGAGAGAGGGGATGGAGTGGTGAAGTTGAGGAACTGAGTACTGATATTTATGTATTCTTGACTAGGAATGGGTCGAACCGAGTCAAGGTGGTTGAGCACGGTGGGTGGCCGAGTTGGGCGGACGAGTCCACTCTGTACTTTCATCGGAGGAGTGATGATGGGTGGTGGAGTGTTTACAGAGCGATTCTTCCAGAAATCGGAGCAGTTAGCGTTGGCACGGTTGTGATTCAGCGAGTCACACCTCCTGGTCTTCACGTGTTCACTCCGGCGGCTTCGACAGCAAACAGGAGCTTCATTGCGGTGGCTACGAGAAGACCCGATTCGGAGTTCCGCCACATAGAGCTGTTCGACGTTGATTCGAACGAGTTCAGATATGTGACTCGACCCATAGCACCACAAAATCATCACTTTAACCCTTTTATCTCACCCGATTCAACGCGGGTCGGCTACCATAAATGCAGAGGAGACAGCAATGGAGGAAAACCCGAAAATTTGTTGCTTGAAAACATCCAGAGTCCTGTACCCGACATCTCACTGTTTCGGGTTGACGGGTCATTTCCTTCCTTCTCGCCTGAAGGGGACCGAATTGCCTACGTTAGCTTCCCCGGTCTCTATGTCGTGAATCGGGACGGGTCGAACCGGCGCGAGGTCTTCACCGGAACCGCCTTCTCAAGCGGGTGGGATCCGAAACGGAAAGGTGTGGTCTACACTGCTGTGGGACCCATATTCGCGACAGAGAGCACTAAGGTTGATATAATCTCTATCAATGTTGATGATGATAAATTGGGCTACAAAAAATTGACCACCGGCGGCGAAAACAATGCATTTCCCTCAGCTTCCCCCGACGGAAAGTTGCTCGTTTTTCGTTCGGGTCGGTCGGGTCACAAGAACTTGTATATAATGGACGCTGTGGATGGAGAAATGGGTGGTATCCACCGGCTGACGGAGGGCCCCTGGACGGACACGATGTGTAACTGGTCACCGGACGGCGATTGGATCGTTTTTGCGTCGGACCGGGAGAATCCGGGTTCGGGTAGCTTCGAGTTGTATATGATTCACCCGAACGGAACAGGGCTCCGGCAGTTGGTACAGAGTGGGTCAGCTGGGCGGACTAACCACCCGTGGTTCAGCCCGGATGGGAAGACTATTGTATTCACTTCGGACTATTCTGCAGTGTCAGCTGAGCCAATCTCGAACCCACATCATTATGGCCCTTATGGTGATATTTTTACGATTAGATCAGACGGCTCTGAGATACGAAGGATGACACATAACGCCTATGAAGATGGGACTCCTACTTGGGGTCCCACGTACATGAGGGCCGTCGATGTGGAGCGGCCAAATGATGGACCACAGTGCTCATTTGAGGATTGTCACTGGCTCAAGATTAGTCGGAACCAGGGTGTAGAGGTTGGACCCTTGGGCTTCACCGAAGCTCAATGTGGTCGATAAGTAGGCAGCACTCTGTTGGATTGTAGACACCACTTGTGATGTATCATATGAGATATGAGCTATTGTACATTTGTGCCATATAATTAAGAAATAAATAGATAACCGCTACATTGTAGTAATGAGGAGGACTGTTATAAAGTATTATCTTAGTTTTCCTTGTATTTTGGTTGATCATGCTGGCATGATTCAATAATTTTTTTTTTTTTTTTTAAGTACTTGGCGTTTGCTTTTGCGTAATTTGGTAATTTGAATATAGCTTAAAAAGACAAGCGACACTTGGAAAACAAAAGAGAGACATCATTTTATTTTCGTTACCACTATCAAGTGGAACAGTGTCTAGACCTCATTCAAGGTTTGAAGTTCTTTTGGTCTCTGTTTGGTTTGTGAAATGGTTCACGTAGGTGTTATGGGTATGAAGATATTCACTTTGTGCATATAACTTCCAAAAGTTATGTCTATCAAATTAATTTTCTCCCAGAAAAAAAAAAAAAACAAAACAAAAAAAACAAAAACATAGACACTTACTTCCATTTATAACGTTTATTGATAAACTATACGCTACTTGAGGTCAATGAAAAAATAAAAAATAAAAAATTTCTCACCAAAAAATTAAGCGCTGATTTTGGACTTCCCTTATATTCTATATATTTATAAATATGTATATATATTTTTTGAATCCATCCGTTGTATAGTATATATGCTTCCTTAAACTTTTTTTTTATAGAATACTTAGGTACGAAATGGTTTCTAAAAAACTTCTCACTTACTATTTAAAATTCTCACCTTCTACTTTAAAAAGTGATAACGTAGCACTAATACTTGGCAGGAGTTTTTACTTTAAAAAGTGATAAAGTAGCACTAATACTTGGTGGGGATTTTTATTTAATTAAGCTTCTCCTATTTGCTCATATTTTTAACTGAAATATGCCAGAACAATGAGTGATTAAAGAGAGAGATTTTGAATATTTCGAGAGGGAAAGAAAAAGAAAATTAAAAAAATCATATTAATTGAAATATGCCAGAACATAGAGTGATTAAAATAAAGCTTTTGGAAGCTTCGAGAGGGAACGAAAAAGGAAAAAAAATTTAAATATCATATTAATTGAAATATGCCAGAACATAGAGTGATTAAAAGAGAGCTTTTGGAAACTCCGAGAGGGAACGAAAAAGGAAAAAAAATTAAATATCATATTTTAGACCTATATATTTATAATACACACAGATATAAAAATAAATAAATAAATAAATAAAAATAATATAAAAAAAAAATTGAGTAAGAGAATCCTTTAGTACTTAGAGGAGCCAGCATGCGGAGCCAGCATGCCCCGGGGAAATTTGAGTAAATTTTTCTTCTTCTTCTCTCTTAATTTTTTTTCTTCATGCCTAATATACTCCCAATCAAATTCATGTCTCCACCCTAATTGTAATTTTGTGTCAAAGACGCGATCCTCTTGGACCATGATGCTACATAACAGAAAATTTAATTGAGTGGGTTAATAATGAGTAAAAAGTCAATACCTATTCAATTCAATGATTAAAGGTGAGTTAAAAGCGATACCCATCTTAACTTGCTCAAACAAAATTATTTATTTATTTATTTATTTTCTTTTTCTATCATAAAAAAAAAAAAAAAAAATTTAACCATGAAATCAAAAAATTAATATAATTAATAATATTAGTGGAAGTATAAGTGTTCTAATATTATTAATATTAATATTTTTTGTTTCTATCTCTCATACTATATATCTTTTTCCCTCTTTTCTCTCTCCTAGGAAAAAAATTATAACAAGTGAGACCAAAAAAAACAAAAAGATTTAATATAAAAACATTATATATATATATATATATATATATATATATTCAATAATTAAAATAAATTGACAATTTGTATCTAAAAATATTTGGATAATTGGGTTAGATGTGTGTTAACTAACCCATCTAACACCCAACTCTTTTATAACCTATCACAAATGAGTTGATAATTGGTTATTGATTCACTATTGAATCGCCTATTCATGGTCAGTCCAAAACATGTCAATTGTCACTCCTAATTTTAACAGATTACTTCATGCGTTAAATATGTTAGGCTCTGTTTGGTTAGATGAAAATAGTAAGAAAGGAAAAAAAAAAAAAAATAGAAAATGAAAAGAAAAATGAAATGAATGAAAAGAAAAGTGATTTTCTAGTATGTATTTGGTTAAGATAAAAATTCTTCATGAAAATTTTAGGAAAATATCAAATTATAAAATGAAGTTGTTGAATAAAATAATATTAAGGGTAAAGTACATATTAAAAATGTACAATTTAAGGACAAAATGAATAGTCTCCGGCATAAGAGGTTACCGGAGATGTTTGATTACAAAATTACCCTTTTATAAAAGGACGTCGTTTTAGTGTTTGATTGGCTTCTATTGCTGATGTATTAAACAAATTCTGAACAGCTAATAATATTTGGACAACTCATTATCACTTTACCAAAACTTTAACGCCAAAGAGAGTTAGCGCCAAACCTAAAAACCAACTAGTCCATTGCAACTGAATAACCCTGAAAGTGAAGCTTTGAAACCCTAACTCATCCATTGCAACACCAACATAACTACTGTACGAACCTCCCCCCTCCTCCCTCTCTTCTGTCTAACCTTCTCTTCCCCTCTCTTTCCTTTTCATGGCTAGCGATGGAGGCACTGCTCTGGCAGTGGTCATCGGCGTCGCGAAAAAGCGACCGCAAGGTCGCGGTTACGTAGGTGCATCACAACTTGGAAAGGTCGACTTCATGGCGACCTATGTCCAAAATTACTGCTCAGCGACCTTGTGTCGCCGTGGTACAGGTCTCCAACTAGTGGCGTAGCCAAAAATTTTATTCTGTGGGGGCAATTTTTAATAACAATAATATATATATATATATATATATATATATATATATATATAATTTGAACCAAAAAAATATATGTAAAATTTAAACCATTAATTCATAATATTTCTATTCAGTACATTCACAACGATTTTTTAGATTATTCATTACTGTTTTAAAATTGAGTTCATTCAATTAAATATACTAACAAAAAAAAATCATATTTAATAAATCAAGAATAAGATATGAAAAAGAAAATAATACAGTTACCTTACTATTCTAATATATCACATGTGTGAAAAAAAAAATAATAATAACACAAACTAAAATTTAAAAGAACAATAAGCCCTAAATAATTTTGATAGTAATAACTAATAATTTTTCTAATTAAAATTATAATATCAAATAATAATAAATTTAGATGATTAAAAAAAATTATCTAATTACCTATACGACGAGTCTCTGTCTACTGGTAAATGGTTACTCTGCTTACTTTGTTTAGATTGTGGAAAATGTTGAAAATGAAGATGTTATGGAAAATGTTGAAAATAAAGAAGTGATGGAAATAATCTATTTGTTTGTGGTAAAGTCAAAAAGTGTGGTAGAATATCTTGATGATTTTTTTTTTTTTTTTTTTGAAAAGTGGTAAAGATATAATATTTTGTGAAAGTAGAAAAAAATATTATATTTTCTCGAACAGGAAGTTCGCTCCAAATATTCAGAGTTGTCTTCTCCCACAGGTATGACTTGATTATGAGGACGAAATCCTTTTAAGTTGGGGAGAATGTGATGTTTCTATTTTTCACCATTTTTCATTTTCCGGGGAATTTTGTCGTTACAAGGGCATTTTCGTCTTTTGCCGTTTTTCGTACCGGATACTGTGAAGTGTGCTAGTTGTGTTTGAGAGTTGTTTGGAGCATTTCATGAGTTCAAGACTCTTTGAAATGCAAGGGTGGTTATTTTGGCATTTTTTAATTTTTCGGGTTAGACGGTTCCGTGTGGGACCTGTTACCGGAATTATTGCATATGGGGATTTTGGTTGAGTCCATTGGCATCCCATGCATTTTATTTAATGTATTTTATGTGGGTTATATATATATATATATATATATATATTTGTGGTGGGAATAAAAAAAAAAAGGAAAAAGATAAAAATATTTTTATTTTTGGTGGGGCCCATCATTTCTTTTCTTCTAAATGGTCAAGAGACCATTATTGGCCTCATCTCTCTCTCAATCTCACGGCTCTCTCTCTCTTATTCTTTTTTTTTTCTTTTTTTTTTTCCCACCATCCTTAAATCTTGATTTCTCTCTCATTTTTGAGAGATTTTTGATGTCGTTTATGGCAAATTAAAGAGCAAGCCGAGATCTACATCTGGATCGGAGCCAATCTTCATTTGGCCACCATTGTGGGGATCACAAATTCTAGGGTTTGAGGTGAATTTTGGGCTTTTCATCAAATTGAGGTAGGGGTTCCTAATCCATGTCTTCTTAGACTTTAGTGAGTTGATTTTTTTCATGATTTGTGGTTTAACATGTTAAATTTGTGTTAAATTTCTCTAAATTAGCTTAAATGTTGTATATGAACTATATGCCTATGTGTATTAGTTGAATTTGTGTGAGAAAACATGTTTATGTGGTAAATTCCTTGCCTATTGTGTGTAAATTGTTGAAATTTAAATTATGGAAGCATTGTTGATTTGTGAATTATTAAATTCCTTTATTGATATGGCATTGGAAAGTATGAGACATCCATGCATATCATTGGGCATGAAATGAGAAAATTTTGATTTAAATGAAAAGTGAATGGTTTTTGGAAAAAAGGGCTTGATGCAAGGTTTGCGAAAACCCGGACTCTTAGGAAGCGCCTAGTGGTACGTGGTGTTAATGTAATGTAGATGGAGGTTGAGCTACCTAGGTCCAGACGACACCATGAAGGTGCCATGTGGTCGGGGATTGCTAGCCAACCCTCTCTTCGGGACGCCATAGAGGTGCTATGGGTCGGGTTGCATTAATAGTTTGGAACGATGATACGAAAATGTTTTGGAAACGGGGAGTGACACTGCATGACATTGCATTTCATAACATGGTATAGAATATTCCTAACATGGACAGTTGATATTAATATGGTGGTTGTATTTCTTCCAGTATGCATGATCCCATTTTCTCTCATTTCTAGTTATAGTTGGATTATACTTATCAAAAAAAAAAAAAAAAAGTTATAGTTGGATTCACGGGGTTTCAAGAGGTGTGTCTTAGGCACCTCCATTGGGCCATTGTGCTCATCCATTCATTATTAACATTTTTCAGGGCTCGAAAAAGAAGTGGCGGAAGAGTATCCACCACAGACTTAGCTTGGATTAAAGAACTGACCCTTTTGCCATCTTTTGTACCTAAACCTCATCTTGTAAAACATTAACTGAAAATGTATCATTTTGTGTCTCGTGATGTATTTATATTCTCTATTTTATATACGATCATTGGGGGATATATGAATGACAATATCGTATTAATTTTGTGAATGTAATATATTTGAAATTCCTTACTTGAAATTATAATGATAATTATGACGGAGAATGGTATAGATGTTACCGTGAAAGCGGAATTGCATAGCTTATCAGGTTGGCTCATAACTAGCTAGTCAGTTTGGTGTTGCTTGTTGCAGATAGCAGCTTTTTAAGGCCTGCCGGCTGGCTGACAAGGATTATCAGCCGGTTGACAGTGCCCATTTTGGCATTCTAGTGAACTGAGACGTGGAAAAACCTGTTTCGGTAGGCCAAACCCCTTCATCAGTCGACCGACCCTCCTTCATCAGCCGGCTGAACCCCAATTTCAGTCGGCCGATGAGCCACTATAGCAAAGTCCCGAGAGCTTACAACTTTGAGAATCGTTTTGGCCGACCGACCAGGCAGTTTTGGCCGACTGACCATGCAATTTCAGCCAACCGACGAAGGGCCATCAACTGGCTGACCCTCCCTCTTTGACCAGTGTTTTGATCCTCTCCTCTTGGGCTATGATTTTGAATTGTTTTAAGCCATGTAGTGAATTGAAAATTACCCAAGAGCACAGGAAATGACCATTGTACCCTCGTTGACCTCGGGTTTGGGTAGGGACCCGGTTAACGGTTCGGACCCACAGGTTCGGGTCGTTACAATTTACAATTATGTCACGATTATATTCCTCCCATGAATGGGCTTTTGATTATATATATATAGTATATATGTGTGCACTATTAAATTTTAGAGGGGGTAACAATAAAAATATAAAAATCTTTCCATATAAAATTTTAAAAAATTAAAAATTCAGCTGGGCCAATTGCCCCTACTTGTCCCTTTATGGCTACGCCACTGTCTCCAAGTCGCCGGACGGCAAAATTAGCTATCGTGAAGAGCAGTGACCTTGGGTCGTGATTTGAAGAGGGTTGCATTGCTGGTCAGCAACCCAATAATTTTAGAAAGGGACGACGACCAAGGGTTGCCGTCCATGGTGGTTTCTAGGCCGCGCTCTGGCGACCTGGTTATACGAGAAGATGGCAACGTCGTGAAGGTCGCTGCTCTTTGCGATGACCATAACTCTGCACTGTACCACCGTTAATTGTTGAAGGAGGAAATAGGTCGCCGATGGCTGGAGTCACCGGTTTGGGGGGTTTATTACCAAAATTGCCATTTAAAATTTACAATATAGGTCACATGCCTCACGTGCCTCTTTCACAAATAAAATCAACCGGAAAAGTGATCCCTGGGTTTTTTTGCAAAAATCAAGATAGTTTAGGGAGTTTTTGGCCAAAAAAAAAAAAGTTTTTTAGGGGGAGAGAATAAAGTTCAAGAGAGTTATATGCACTTTACCCTAATATTAAAGAAGCTATTTGGCAAAATAGGAACACTAAATAAAAAGACACGCTTTCATGGGAAAGTAAAATTTTTTCTTGATTTGTGAAAGAAACATTTTGGAGAAAATAAAGAGTTACAATAATCCTATTTTTTAAAATTTATATTTTTCTATTTAATCAAACTATAAAAAAAATTTAAAAATTTTCATTTCCTTCCTTTTTCAGTTGATTCAAGCCTTAAAATATATGTAAATCTCTGGAAAATTTGAAATACACGCGTTAAAAATCTTTACAGCACATACCGCGGAACTTGTGAAAGGGCCCATTCTCAGATAAAAGAATGGATCACAAGAGTGTTCTTAATACACAGATATCTGGTTTCAGTAGTTTTAAGTATGTGTTGTCACAACCCAATTGGCCAGTGCCACATAATTCCACGCATGATAACATTTTTTTTTTTTTCGGAAGTTCTTGATAACATATTTTAAGACGCGTAGGGCTTTAACCCAAATTAGTCAAAGATGTGCATAAAAAACATGAGGCCCATAAACAACGCCCAATCTCGTCCATCGAAACGGTTTATAGCTTCTCTCAATTTTGGATGATTGCATTCTAGAAGCTTGCTCAAGTGATGAGATGAGCTATGTTGGGCATTTGTGAAGTGGCATAGTTAAATTATTCGGTGTAAAAATTTTATTTTTCAAAACTAAATTAAGATTTTACCTGAAAACCATCTCATAAATGAGACAAGGTCAATAAAAATACGAGGCAAACGATGAAGTTGGATAAAAATTGACCTCTCCAATAATTACCATGAGGACAAGTTCTCTCGGGTCCCACCCTATAAAACTATTGTACACCATTGCTTTGACAAATAGATACCATCCACAGTTGGGACCCACCAAACTTCATAAAACGTCATCCCTTACACCACAAATCTCATCGCATCTCTCTCACACACAATTTAACTCCAAGAGTGCAGGGTAGAAGAAACCACACACACACCATGAGACCTCAAGAGCCCCTCTGTTCCTTCATCGTCTTCTTCTTCAGCTTCATCCTAACTCTATATCCTGCAGCAGCGGACCATGAAGGCCCAAGCAGCCGCACCAGCATAGTCTTTGCCACGTTTGGTAGATCAAGATACTTCTTCGACATCTACACCGTCCCAACACGGGACCCACCAACCAACGCCAACGAGCTCCGAATCACCGATGGCCACTCCGTCAACTTCAACGGCCACTTCCCCTCACCAACATCATCCTCAATCCTCTCTATCATACCCAATCAAACCCTCATCAACCTCATCTACGTCACAGAACGAAACGGATCCTCAAACATATATCTTGATGCAATCTATTACGATAGTGCCGACCACACCAGAAGACGATCGGCTCTCCAAGTCCCGATTAGAGTTCAAATCCCTCTGTTAGGCAGTGAACCGTCAATTGGTCGAATTTCAATGAAGGATAGGCCGAGTTTGGTGGGTGAGTACTTGGTATACGTGTCGACTCATGAAGACTCGGGCGTGCCTCGGACGAGTTGGGCAGCTGTGTACTCGACTCAGCTCGAAACCGGGTTGACTCGGAGGTTGACGCCGTACGGGGTCGCCGATCTCAGCCCTGCCGTGTCTCCGTCGGGTGTTTGGACTGCTGTGGCGTCTTTTGGAGAGAGGGGATGGAGTGGTGAAGTTGAGGAACTGAGTACTGATATTTATGTATTCTTGACTAGGGATGGGTCGGACCGAGTCAAGGTGGTTGAGCACGGTGGGTGGCCGAGTTGGGCGGACGAATCCACTCTGTACTTTCATCGGAGGAGTGACGATGGGTGGTGGAGTGTTTACAGAGCGATTCTTCCAGAAAACGGAGCAATCAGCGTTGACTCGGTTGTGACTCAGCGAGTCACACCTCCTGGTCTTCACGTGTTCACTCCGGCGGCTTCGACAGCAAACAGGAGCTTCATTGCGGTGGCTACGAGAAGACCCGATTCGGAGTTCCGCCACATAGAGCTGTTCGACGTTGATTCGAACGAGTTCAGATATGTGACTCGACCCATAGCACCACAAAATCATCACTTTAACCCTTTTATCTCACCCGATTCAACGCGGGTCGGCTACCATAAATGCAGAGGGGACAGCAATGGAGGAAAACCCGAAAATTTGTTGTTTGAAAACATCCAGAGTCCTGTCCCCGACATCTCACTGTTTCGGGTTGACGGGTCATTTCCTTCCTTCTCGCCTGAAGGGGACCGAATTGCCTACGTTAGCTTCCCGGGTCTCTATGTCGTGAATCGGGACGGGTCGAACCGGCGTAAGGTCTTCACCGGAACAGCCTTCTCAACCGGATGGGATCCGAAACGGAAAGGTGTGGTCTACACTGCTGTGGGACCCACATTCGCGACAGAGATCACTAAGGTTGATATTATCTCTATCAATGTTGATGATGATGGATTGGGCTACAAAAAATTGACCACCGGCGGCGAAAACAATGCATTTCCCTCTGCTTCCCCCGACGGAAAGTTGCTCGTTTTTCGTTCGGGTCGCTCGGGTCACAAGAACTTGTATATAATGGACGCTTTGGATGGAGAAATGGGTGGTATCTACCGGTTGACGGAGGGCCCCTGGACGGACACAATGTGTAACTGGTCACCGGACGGCGATTGGATCGTTTTTGCGTCGGACCGGGAGAATCCGGGTTCGGGTAGCTTCGAGTTGTATATGATTCACCCGAACGGAACAGGGCTCCGGCAGTTGGTACAGAGTGGGTCAGCTGGGCGAACTAACCACCCGTGGTTCAGCCCGGATGGGAAGACTATTGTATTCACTTCAGACTATTCTGCAGTGTCAGCTGAGCCAATCTCGAACCCACATCATTATCAACCTTATGGTGATATCTTTACGATCAGATCAGACGGCTCTGAGATACGCAAGATGACACATAACTCCTATGAAGATGGGACCCCTACTTGGGGTCCCACATACATGAGGGCCGTTGATGTGGAGCGGCCAAATGATGGACCACAGTGCTCATTTGACGATTGTCACTGGCTCAAGATTAGTCCGAACCATGGTGTTGAGGTTGGACCCTTGGGCTTAACCAAAGCACAATGTGGTCAATAAGTAGGCACTACTATGTTGGATTGTAGACTCCACTTGTGATGTATCATATGAGCTATTGTACATTTGTACCATATAATTAAGAAATAAATAGATAGCCGCTTTGTAGTAATGAGGAGGTCAAGGTTTGAAATTCTTTTGGTCTCTGTTTGGTATGTGAAATGGTTTACATAGGTGTTCTGAATCTGAAGATATTCACTTTGTGCATATAACTTCCAAAAGTTATGTCTATCAAATTAATTTTCTACCAGGAAAAAATAAATAAATAAATAAATAAAATCATTTCCTCCAGCACCATCCTAATTCACACTTGACACAGGCATGTGTATCATCATAACATGAATTTCATTTTTAACATCAAGACCAAAGGGAATTAATAAGAGAAGGGAAAAGAAAAAGGAAAGGAAACAAAATTCTGAATACATTGAGAAAGTCATTCATACACAAATTGGAGTAAGAAAGGAAACCTGAACTAGAGAACATTAGTACAAGATTGTCATCCTGGGGAGCTCACATTCAGCAAATCAGAAGGATGAGAAACCAGCCGAGGACCCCAACAGCGAACACACAACTAACATGAATGTTTAGAAGAACATCAAGAGTGGAAATCAATTTCCTTTGCCTCAATGAAATCAAGCAGTAAACGGCAGATGAAGTGCGCCTGAAGCCCATCCAACGAAGTATTGGAACAGTAACATGACCATCAGCTAGCTGCTTAGGTTGTAGAAAAACTCCGGTGGTATTGTAGGAGGGCAGTACTTCTTTGCCACAAATTTATACTGATTCATAGACAACAAATGTCACTTTTTGTTAGCGCGTCATGAAAGCAGTTTTTTCATCAATGAATTATTTGTGTATTATTTTGAACTCTTGCACCCTCACAAAAATCTAAACTGGATTGTGGAATTTTGCTTACTTTATGCTGACTGTATTTCTCCCTGACTGCAGGCAAACTGGAATTGTAGTTGTTACAGCGAAGGCTATGCAGCGCCTTCACACAGTCACATAAATCAGAGGGCTCGTACTGTGTGTAGTGCCGCAAAGTAAAATTCTGTATCAAAACAAAAATAAAGATTGTAATATTTTTCACTTGAATTACATATCCAGGAGAAAATAGGCCTGGGACCTTATATCTAAACAAGAAGCAAAATCAGTTATTATGAGTAGTAACCAATGCATACCCAAGGTCTCTTTGAAGGATTTAGCATATAATTGGCCAAGAAAATTGCTGAAGCAGCAATAAGTGATGGAGCATAACAAAGCATATTGTATTCCAGAAGAGATAACTCTGCAAGGTAGTTCGCTAAGCACTCCAGCAGGAACGATGGAGCCTAAGCAAAGATAAAATATTAAACCACCCGTAAACAACCAATTTTTTTCTGACCATACCATGCTGTAAAATTTTACCAAAAATCAAGTTCAACTTTAATTTGAGTAGTATTATGTCATTACGATGGCCTTTTTGACTTTTGTTTCATCATTCACCAACATATATAAGATGCAAAGACCAAGTGATCTAGTTCATGATGGTACCTCATTGACCCCTTGAGCAGCACGAACAAATCGCCTATGAATATTTATGTATCAGTGAGATGCAGGTAAGTACTAGAAGTAGCTTATGAAACCATAATTATACTAAGTAAGAATCAAGAGTCTAGTCATTACCTCAAGAAACATTTTGCTGTAGGGGCTGTCATTTCAAACTTCAAGTAATTTAGAACAGAAGATTCCATTTGCAAAACCTGCAAAAATCATATTTCCTAGTGCTTAGCAAAAACTGAAAGCAACATGTAGATAATGCACAAATGCAGCTACATTTAAATAGAAATTAAACCTCCTCCTTGAAGTACGTGTTATCAGTTATGTAACAAAACTCTTCCACCTGGGGTGCACAAATCTCCTCATATTTTCTGTCAATATCATTTCATTTGTTACTATCTATGTTTATTCCTTTGCAAAAAATTAATAATAAATATATAAATATACACACACAGATATACACAAACACATAGAAAGAGAGAGAAGTGAAAAAAGATCAAAGAGAAGAGGAAATAAGCATAAGGCATAAAATATTATCTTACGCTGCTATCATCATGCATGCAACACCAAGCAATTGTAACCTCTGCCTATCCACCACATTGCCAGAAAGATACCTATCTATGTAGTTTATAGTCAAATACAAGGTATCAGGGACCAGCCTGTACTCTTCAGAAACCTGCAGTTGGAGATACAAGCAAGCTCACCATACGTGGTAGAAATGTACATATGGTTAAACACTTGGAAATCCATAAAGGGTGATCATATTGCTAACCAGGACTTTGATAATTAAATTAAATCCCTCTTACTTGGTAAAAATGTATTATCATACAATGAATCACCCCTAAAAGCATGAAAATTCAGAGATTTGGAATTCCAAATTCATAATACTACAGCACACCATAATTTACCTCCACAAGCCAGTCAATAAGTATAGAACGCATGCTAGCATTGATGTCTTTCTGGACCCTCTCCATGAAGTCCGTGGAAGGCCTTTTCCTTGCCTAAATTGACATGGGAAAAAAACAAAAAAAGGATTTTTTTTTTAATAAAGAAATTAGAATCAAGAGATTGTAATTAGTCCACAAATATAACAAATTAGTCCGCAAATTTAACAACTATACAAATTGAGAATAGAAAAACAACTCCTAAATCATTTATATCTAATTAAGCATGGTCGTGTTTAGATATATCCCAAAAGTGTTTTTTACAAATCAAATCCTGAACACTTCTATACTTTACCCTCCCCAAATATAACAAAAAGAATTCCAGATATCCAGCTCATATCTGGCCTAAAATTTCAGGAAATTTTGCTTCAAACCGAGAAACTATCCCACTGGCCTACATTATTGTAAACCAACAATAAATTCAGTCCATAGCACAATTGTGGAGCCCATGCAGCTTGAATTCCCACCAGAAGTTAGATAAGAATGAAATTCTGATGATGTGATCTTATGCCTTAAAGTAATTGAGTAGTACTTAGTTGTTTTATAATTAAAATAAATGATTTATAAAAATCAAAATATATGTAGGAGTAACTAAAACAAATTGAACCTATGAACTGTGTATAGATCACAAATAGAGTTTCATCTATTACTTTTCTTAGTGCATTACATAGTATAGTAACATATGTCATTAGAATTGGCAAACACTGATACCAGAGATTTGGTCTGTCCACCTATGTCAGCTAAGGGTATAAGAGCATAATAACCATTTTTTGGACCATTCATTTGTTGACCCTGTTTTTGAATGGCTAAATATAGGACAGTTCATTGTTAGAAAACCAAATAAATTCTGCAATGCCATTTTCAACAATGTAGGTAAATTGAGTTGATAGCCAATACCAATCTATAAACCATGTCATTTAGACTGTATCTGATACGTGATGCACTGAAAGTCGGTTCAATTGTAATTCATGCGCCATTTTGGCCAAGTAGATACTTTAATAATAACATTTCTCCAGTAAAAAACAGAGAACATCTATAAAGATACCCGGTAAAAATGAGTAGTTCAGGAGCTGTATTTTTAAGTAATGCTAAAGATAAGACCATTGCATAGAGAAATAAATAATTTTTCTTTTTAAGAAAACAGATGTTGAACCTCAGATGCTCGCAAGTGCTTGTAAATGTCGCAAGCCATGGTTGCGCATAATTGAGGGTCCACTAAATTTCCATCAATATCAACAATCTTATCAGTTGCTTCCATGTCCCCAAGGATCTCTCTCTTGCAGATGTTTCCTGTGAAATATACAACTAAGATAATTTAAGAAGGCTACTAGAATAAATAACTTCACAGATCATGAAACTTAATGACATTAAAACTGAAAAGAATCAGCAAAATATGTTCATAATATGAAACCTGATGGCTCATCATGCTCTGAAATGAAGAGTTTGCTACATGTCTTCCTCTCAATGGAATTAATTGCTGCAACATCATTGTTGTCTATATATTCAACTTCCGGACTCTTTAACGAATCACAAGTAGACATAGTTTCATCCAAGGAAACTGAAGATCCATCCGATTCAATTGGGCAAATATCCATGCTGCATGGGGCAGGAGGGGCAGTAATCCTAGAGAGAATTTCATCACTTCTTGAGAAAGAAGCAACTTTACCAGAAGCAACCACGCTTGGCTTCGCATTTGAGGATGTTGGCAAAATACTTCCAGAAAAGGCTGCATTATTACTGCATGCAGAAGATCCCTTCTTGGCATTCACAATTTTAGTCACACATGGTACCTTCAAGTATGAAATTCCATTAATCATTTCTCTGAAATATTAATACAAGTATATTTCAAATGCCAAAAGCTGAATGTTAATAACTTTAAGACCAAATCAAAAACAAAACTCTTGGAGGTGTTGCATTGAAATGAACTATGCCCAATTTATTTTCCATAATATTTTAAATTATATGTTCAACACTTCGGATAGTACATCATTTCACAAAGCAAGCACAGAATCATTAGAAAACTGTCCTTAAAATTGTCAAAAGATGACCACATAACTCAAAACCCTCCATAATTGAATCAAAATCTGTTCATAGTACATGCTATGCAGGAAAATGAAAATAAGTAGAAATATCATTTCCATGTAATACGCAATCGTTGCAGTGTGTATGTGCATGCGCATGTGTTTGAGAGAGAGAGAGAGAGAGATCCATGTAAATGGAGAATTTCAATAAATTTTTGGTGCCCTTTACTGTAATCATGTATTAAATAATCGATTACCTGACCCAAGCAACAAGAGAAAGAAAGTCTCTCTATGTGACTGTAGTTCCAAATATCTTACAAACGGATGCATGACATTCTTTTAGGCACTTCTAAATATTTCCTTGATACAAAAATCTCACCATTAGTAAAAGTAGTTTAATCAAAGGTCTGGTTACCACTAAAATTCACAAAATGACCCTTTTTGTTTCCATAATAATAATAATAATAATAATAATAATAATTAGAAAAGAAAAGGTTTTAGCTAAATCTATAGTTCTGAACATAGTTTTCCAATCATATTTTTTTCTTTCCGGTAAATTCAATCACATTTCTTTCTTTTCAGTAATATTGGTATTCTTTTAGGTACTTAGGTTTTTACCTAAATCTATAACATAGTTTTCAATATATTTTTTTTCTTTTGGGTAAATTCAATCACATTTCTTTATTTGTTCTGCACCTATATTAGCAATACCAATATATAATGAATCAATATTTGTTATGTGGAAAAACAGACAAATATAGAAAAGAAAAGGTGTTACTCACAAAGAACCATTGACATATACATACATACATACATATATATCTATATAATTATATAAAACAGCTCATTTATACATGCCAGACATGAGATACCCACAAATCAAACTTTAACCTAAAGGTAAGATTTTTGGTGGAATATAGACCCCACCAGAAATTCCTATATTTCTGTTCCTCTAATTATGCCATAATCATTGAAATTAGATAAAAACTTACCATATTGGAGGACCCAAAACCCGAGTTTCGCGAACCATTCTGAGAACCCTCCCTCTGATTGGTCACATTCGCCAGAGGCGGTCTCTTCTTCGCCATGCGCGGTGGCGCCGCCGTGACCTTTCCAAGATTCTCCGACGACGACGAGGCATGCCTCTTTGCCAAAGAGGAAGACGATTGCAACGACGACGAACCAGTTGATCGGCGATTCTTGGTCGACATTGTTTCAGCTTGAAATGTAACCCAGAAACTCAAATTCTTTCAAGAACTGAACTTTTAACACGATGTGATGATCGCACGAAAAAAACCCTAGCTCAATAAAGATTGAATCTCAAAGAAAGTAGGGTTTAAATGGGGGTTTGAAACTTTGAATTCTCATGCGTTCTTGAACAATTCTTGGACGTTTTTAGAGAGAGAGAGTGGGAGAGAGAGAGAGAGAGAGAGAGGGGAGTGTTTCTATGATGCTTTTGAGGCGGATAAATGGGCTATTTGAATTGCAAAATTGATCGTGACCGTTGATTCGGCTTGGTATTCGTTAGGAGCGGACAAGAGTGGGGTTCACAAAGTATCTTTATTTGAATTTGTTCAGTTACCGTCAGAAATTGAAAGGTACACGACCAATCAAGTGGATCCAAGTAATGCTTCTTTGGGTGGTCAAACCTCAGTGGACTTGTAGTTTTCTTTATCTTCTCCGAATTTTAGTGGTAGTTCATTGGATTTCAGGTCACAGACTGTCACGTTAGTATTTAAATTTTGAATTTCGAAATTTAAACGTTAAGCAGATCTATCTTCACTCTTCAGCAAACTTAACCGGTGGACAGACGCACATTATCCAATCCCATAGCAGCCTTATGTACCATTTTTATCAAATGCAAATTAGAAATTCAAGTCAGTCACATGATTAGTTTGAAAACAATTCTTGTGCATTGTGAACTAAAATTTAACTTACAATATCATTTGGTTAAGTAATTAAATTTATTAAAGAGTTTAGTCTGAGGTCTTCATAACTCAACTCGTTTATTGATTGGAAGTGCTCAATAAATATCTAACAAAACCTTGCATTGATAGCTTAATTGTCAGATTTCTGTTGGATGTAAAAGTGGTGTGTTTACAAAATTATAGAGTTATAATTTGTAACCCAGAGTAAGGCTAAAACTTTGATAGCAAATTACAAATAATGTAAGAGTCCAAGAAATTATATATATATATATATATATATATATGGGATTTAATACAATTAAAAAAGGATTAAGAATAATAGTGATTGAGTGGGCATGATTTAATGTGTGAGTCTAAATTCAGTTATAACGATTCACTCCACCACATAAAATGATATGTCTATTTTGGGTCTGAGTTTGCACGATTTTATTATTGGCTTTTACTTTAAAAAGAGTTCTACCTCCTGCGATTAGGTCAAACTATTATACCATTTGTAAAAGTGCACCCACCAATAACCTGTCAATTTTTTTTGCACCCACCCATGACTCAACTGTCCACATAATTCGCCACACTAATAGTGCGTGTGTGTATATATATATATATATATATATATATATATGCACGATAAAGTCCTCAACAATGCAATTAAAGGCAAAATAAACGAGAAAACAAATATTCCACCTTTCAACAAGAATATTTGAGTTCCTCTTTATTCATCTCCCTAGTAGTTGTGTATATGAAATTTCTCAACCGTTCATTTTTCTTCTTATTTTTTCGGATAACCAAACAAAAGTAAAGACTTTTCAGTTTTGTCAACTTGCATACTCAAACAAAAAAAAACACAAAAATTGGCAACCCTCAACTTTCTATCTACTTTTTCACTTACGCTAACAAAAAAAGAAAAAATAATTAGACATTCCTCTTCCGTTCTTTTCCTTTGTATTATTCATGTACTTTATCTCCCTTGGGTTTTTACTTAGATCCACTAAAATAATGAAATAAATAAATATAGGTAGGCAATAAATGGAAAATTTAGTGAGTTGAAAGGTTAATTTAGTTTCAAATTGTAATTTGTAGAGAGGTGTTGACACATGAGTATTAATGAGAACTCTGTATGACATGAATAGGTTGAGTTCTAAAATCTTTCAGATTGATGCGGAGACTGTGTACTTTTGTAAAGAGAAATGGAAAATTCTAAAATGTTAGAGATGTTGTAGATATTTGCAAAGAGTATAGTAATTTATAGAAGGTTAGGATAAGTTTTGTAGAGTTGTAGAGATTGTAAATTGCCTATAAATAAGGTAGGGTCTCAATTATATTTAACAAACACTATGGGGAAATTGTCTTGTACCATTATTTTCGATTAACCAAACTGTCTTATAACATATAATCTCACGATTGCGGATAAGGTAACAAACTATCGCTATCTGGTTTATAGCAGAAGAAAGAGTAGCACACTAAAAAGAGAAACCCAAACAAATGGACTGCCGTGTTTTTTAAAACTAAAACCCGGTTAAATCATGTCGTATGACCGATACCGGTCATATCTATGGTATTTTAATTCCAGTTACCTAAGAAATAGTCAAATAGAGTAAAATGATTGATTTAATTTATTGTGTGCTCTCTACCATTAAACAACGCATCCACTGAACAACATGCATAAATAAATAAAATTCTTTAATTGATATTGGTTGAGAAAGAACCATTTTATTTATTTATTTGTTATTATTTGAATAAAGTGCAAAAAAAAAAACCTAAATTATCAACTGATTGCACAAAAACCCCTTGTATTAACAACTGTCCCTGAACTATGAAAAAAGTGCAATTAATGACAAAATGTGAAGTTTCCGTTAAGTACACAGTAAATTACCAATTTATCCTTAACAGAAGGAGACCATTTTATTGTTTATTTACCTTTAGTTACTGACATGTCGTCCACAATCCTAATACCCAATGAAAATTAGACAGCGTATCAAACCTTATCACAATATCACTATCCAAACACCAACAACACTTGTGCCAGAAATCACCCTAACTCACCCACTGCAAATTCTAAATCACTCATTGCAAGATGACAACTCTTAGAGGGTGTGGCATTGATGTGGTCCGAGATTAGGAACAGAGACTTTATGGTGCAAAGAGCTTTTTACTAATTTAGCTAGAGGTCTCAGCTGACGGTGAAAGAATCGGCGATGGAGTGTTTGAGATTGGAGCGCAACCTACAACTCTGGCACCGACAAGCAATTGAAGAAATTGAGAGGAAATTGTAAGGTTACACTATCAAAATATCAAAATGGGTTCCAATTTAAACAGGTTGTATATTGGGTTTGATTGAATTTGGTGCGTGGTGGGTCTTTCCATTGACGATGATGTTAGGTTTGATTGACAACATCTCTTTCCGTTGACGGATTCTACAATCGTGAGATAAACCAAAGATTGCAGAAGAGGACTTGGGTCTTAAGTTTTGGCAAAGAACAACTGGGGGTTGATTGGATTTGGTGTGTGTCTTTCTCCGTTAACGGTGATATAGAGGAAGAACAAGGAAGAATGAAAATACGATGAGGTTGATAAATGAGAGAGTCAGAGTCCAGTAGTTAAATAATTGATTTTCTCACAAATTCAAATGTCTTATATACGTTCATATATATATATGTGTAAATCGATTGCAGATAACAACAAGTGAGAACAAATCGATTACAGAGAATGGAGTTGATTTTTTTTTTTCTTGAAAAGATACCCTTATTGCGGCGGAGTGTGTCACCGGAGAATGGACACATGGCGAGGTGAGATTGGCTAAGGAGGAGGAGTTGGTGTTCAACGAGAGGCAGTGCATCGTCTTTGTCCATTGATTTGGGATTAAAAATTCATTTATTAAACTTATTGTACTAAGGGTATCTTTGTCATTTTGAATTTTTGCTTACGTCACAAAACAATTTCAGGTGGACAAACTGACGAAACATTGACGGTTGGGGGATTTTTGCAAAAATGGTGATTGTTTAAGGGGTTTACTTAAAAAATAGAAGTTCAGGGGAAGTTTTTGAAAGAGAGAGAGTAAAGATTAGGGGATTTTTTTGCATTTTACCCTTATTATTATTATTTTTTGGGCCCTATTTAACAAGGATAAAACAAACTGATGTAGCGATAAAATGTTATAAAAAAGTAACACATGGCATAATACTGTTATTTTATCAATTATGTTGTATGCAGATGAATGTTGTGTTCTAAAAATTAAAACAATAACAATAGGAGAAATGAGAATATTAAAATGGGGAATGGAGTGAATAGAAACGATAGGGTCAATGAAAGTGTGGAATTTTTTTTTAAAATGGGTCAAACGAGAAAGTCTAAGTTTTAAGAGGTGGGGGAGGGGAATAAAAAAAAAAAATTATTAAAAAAAAAAAAATGTTAAATATAAAAAAAATTTACATACAAGACAAAATATTAGGACATGGATGATTAATGTGGTGGACACCACTGAAAAGACCTTTCATAAGAATTGGGGAGAGGTTTATTAATATTTCTACTTTTGTAGTAGTACATATATACCATATATGTGTGCACTTGTGTTTAGGTGAATTAGAATATGATAAAATTTGGATTGTTAAAAAAGAAAAAATGAATAAAAATACGATAGAAAATATTGAAGTTCCGACAATGTATATTGAAAAAGAAAAATATTATTTCTTTTTTCATTTTATTGCAAATAATTCCCATAATAAACTTGAGAGAGAAGTCTCTACTTTCTATCTTTCGCATTGAAATGAGGGCTAATAACATTGGCCAAATACTCCTTCCATCTCAAAAAATTTGTCAATTGTTTTGGGATGTCCTAAAGTACATATTTCATTCCTAAAATTGTGACGGGTTTGGTTAAATCCTACTCCACCTCGCTAGAAAATTCGTCATATCAATTTTACTCCTACTCCGAATATTTGTAATTGGTATACCATCTACGCGCCTACTCCGATAGTCAAAATACCAACTTCACCCTAAGTTTAACTGCAGGGCGAGTTTTGTCACTTTTATTACGTTGGAAAAAAAACTAGCCCATTGTGTTCAAATTGAATTGATAAATAAGCTGTTTTAACTTTTAAATTACTAAGAAATGAATATTAATAGATTTACTTATAGTTGCAGCAAAATAATATGAGTCTTAAAAATATTAAATATATATATTTTTAAAAGTTAAATATATAATCGGGACGAGTTTATTACTAAATTCATTTCGTTCCAAACCCACGTAGGGACTATCAAATCTGTCTTATAATTCTTATTAGAAACGAAATGGGGCAAAAACCCTACCCGTTGAGAGAAATTGCCACCCTTACCCATTCAAAAAATAGATGTAGTCTTTTTTTTTGGTAGCATTTTTAAAATATCATTTCTACTAAATAAGTGCAGAATTATTTTGTCTTTTAAGAAGGATAAACTTATAAATTTATGCTTATCAATATAATAAAAAAATTTATTTTATTAAACAGCCCAACAATTTTGAGACAGTGCCAGTATTATTTTATTTAATTAAAAATCGACCTAAATATATAATTTTTCTCTAATTTTTATTTGGCGTAGGGTTTTCAAGTGAATCGACTTACGTGGCCCCCATCTGGGCCTTCTTTTGTGTCCTCAAGACAAGATCTCCATTTTATGCCCAAATCCGCGGGAAAACTCCAGGTAGCATAGAAAGGAGACTCAGAGAGTGTGTGTTAGAGAGAGAAAGACATGGCGCCAGTGTTGCAGAGCTCTCAGCCATGGGTCGAGAAATAGTATTAACCTCTCTAATCCTCAGATTCTCATCTTTTATTATATGTATACACACACAACCAAACTTTTATCTATATAATTTACTTTTCCCTAACCTCTGACCATATTTTGGTCGCCGATTCATATCAGTCGACCCAAGCAGGTAAAAGACGTAGCTCACCAAGACGAGGTCGTTCGAGTCCTCACGAACACACTCGAGACCACAAACGTAATCGATTCTCTTCGAATTCAACAATATATCATTTGATTTTTGAAATTTTTTTGGTCTTTACTTAATGTTGTTGTTTTGCTTGAAACCCTATTGTTAGGGTTTTATAGTTATTTTCGGGTGAATATATGGTTTCATGCTTTTGATTGTCATGGAATCGTCAAAAGGCGATACTATTAGCCATACCCTTGTTCTGATTGTTATAATTTGTGGTGTTTTCATGTGGGCAGTGTCCACACATGCTCTTTTATGGCCCGCCCGGCACTGGCAAAACAACGACTGCACTCGCCATCGCCCATCAGCTTTACGGGTACTTTGCCGTTATATGTTCCTTTTGATTTGAAATCCAATTTTTTGTGCCATATAAGTTGTAGTATTGTCAAATTGTATCTGCAAGTAGCACCTTCGTGAGATTATGAATAACAGGTTTTTGTCAAATTGCAAGATCATTCATGTTTGGAAGTTGTGGAGCGATACAATTTCTTGTGCTGGTTGTGGAAATCACTTAGAATTGTTAGGAATTATGTCTCGAATTCCCATTATTATTAGTTTCTATTTTAGAGTGTATTTTTATGGTAATTTCTTATAGAGATGTGAATTGGGCTCTAAGAAATTGTAATCCTTGTCCACAAAGGAATTGGGTATGTGATTCTATAAATAGACACTTAGGCCATTGTTGAAAGTTATGAGTTGAGAGATGTAGCCTCACGAGGAAGTACGATGATGGTAGGAACACTGATGGCGAGAGGGAGTCTCGTGGAGTACACGGAGAATTCGGTCAAGAGTTTGTGTGCATGGTCCGGTGTTGAAATTCTCTACTATTGTAATATCTCTACATATATAGTGAATCTCTTCTCATCCGTGGATGTAACTCTGATTTTGGGTGAACCACGTATATATCTTGTGTTGTGGTTTGAATTATTGTTTTCTTTCTTTCTTTTGCTTCCGCTGTGCCCCAACAACTGGTATCAGAGCCAAAGGTGAAGGAGATCCAGAAAACACAAGAAGTCTCAACATGTGCTACAACGGGCTTCAGTTGTAGGTGGAGTCAATCGGCTTGATTACATGGCATGGAGCTTGAGTAGTCAAGGTGGAGTCTTGAGGTTTGACTGATTGAGCAACGTATAGTGGGGGGTAATCCGAGTTCTGCAATAAGATCGAGAAGATTGAAGTTGCAGAGAATTGTCCAGATTCAATTGCCATGAGAAGCGATGATTAACGTAATGGAATTTGAGCCAAGGTGGAGATTGTTAGAAATTATGTCTCGAATTCCCATTATTATTAGTTTCTATTTTAGAGTGTATTTTTATGGTAATTTCTTATAGAGAAGAAATTGTAATCCTTGTCCACAAAGGAATTGGGTATGTGACTCTATAAATAGACACTTAGGCCATTGTTGAGAGTTATGAGTTGAGAGATGTAGCCCCATAAGGAAGTACGATGATGGTAGGGGTGAGTTACGGGTTTGGTAGAGTGAACACTGATGGCGAGAGGGAGTCTCGTGGAGTACACAAAGAACTCGGTCAAGAGTTTGCGTGTACGGTCCGGTGTTGAAATTCTCTACTATTGTAATATCTCTACATATATAGTGAATCTCTTCTCATCCGTGGATGTAACCCTGATTTTGGGTGAACCACGTATATATCTTATGTTGTGGTTTGAATTATTGTTTTCTTTCTTTCTTTTGCTTCCGCTGTGCCCCAACAAGAATGTTGTTTCAGATTTAGACATGTGCTGGGATACTTGGCATTTTGATTGGTTTTATGAGGCTTGTATGGTAATGGGGTTTGACATTCCTGAAAATGTGTTCAATTTTTGATAAAATTGCTAGAGTCCATGCATACACATTCACATATTCCAAAACTGAACTGTTTGCCTAATGTAAAATCTAGCAATTTAATGTGTAGATTCTGTTAACAACCATCTACTCCAATGCTTAAGCTATTCAAGAGGGTGTAACTTTAATATATAAATCATTCAACACGCCCCTCACGTGTGTCCTTCTTTTGATTCAACATGTGTTTCAACTTTAATTATACAGGTGATGGGGTGAGGTTTGAGCACAAAAACTTGCTTGCTCTGATACCGTGTTAACAACCATCTACTCCAAAAGCTTAAGCGATTCGAGAGAGTGTAACTTTAATATATAAATCCTCAACTCTTCTCATGTAATTTGTTGATGCAATTGTGTGTAGGAATTTATAGTTCAGTTTAAAACTTTGATAGATTGGTTTTACCTTGAAAACATTAACTTTTCAGGCAATTGTATATATAGTCTGATAATTTGCTGAATATTTCCTGTCCAAAAGTTTTCAGTTATGTACAGAAACATCTCCCAGCTGACACGTGACAATAAAGTTTCAATTGGTGTTTGGAAGCTTGCTCATATTTGAGTTATCGCTCCTATTTTTGTGGTTTTCTTCATTTTGTGGATGGCATGGATTTGTTGTTGGCCATTCATTGAAGTTAATTTTTAGTCACCTTAATGTGCCTTCAATGGCCTAATTCTAAGTTGTTCCTTGTATGATAAATTTCATTTCGTTATTGAACACTTTTCACATGAATTGTGGTTTTAATTCAGCTGAATGGAATCTTTGTCTTTGACAGACCTGAACTTTACAAGTCTAGGGTGCTGGAGCTGAATGCAAGTGATGACCGTGGTATCAATGTAGTTCGAACAAAAATAAAAAATTTTGCAGCTGTTGCTGTCGGCTCAGGCCGTCAAGGGTAATATCTTCATATCTTATTATAATTTTATTCTGCTAATTTTGCTTAGTTAATCATTTTTGCATTGCAGTAGCTTCAGGATGGCAAGGGTATATGTTTTTATCTTTTAATCACTTTTTTTTGGCTTATTTTAGTTTCTATCAAGCCTTCTACTTCATATATTTGCTTCTTATTCTATGTTTTAGGGGTTATCCTTGCCCACCCTATAAGATTATCATCCTAGATGAGGCAGATTCAATGACTGAAGATGCTCAGGCATGTTTGTTATTTTCTTTTTCTTCCTTAAATCTGTTCATTAAATCCATCCAGTAATACTATGAATGTAGCATCAAACACCTATTTTCTTCACAGAATGCCTTGCGACGGACCATGGAAACTTACTCCAAAGTTACAAGATTCTTCTTCATTTGTAATTATATCAGCAGGTGCCTTTTTCTGCCTTTTTATAGGTTTTCTTGCTGAAGTAGGATTTTTTTTTTGGGGGTTTTCTTTTTCCATTTTTTTGTCTTGCTGTTTGATTCTGAGTAATGTTGAATATATTAAAATAATACCCGAATTATTTACCTACTTTGGAACTATTGTGCTTTGAAGTATCCCTTTCAATGAAAATATCACGATGATCAGTATTTGAACTTTTGAAGATGCTATAAAATTGTCTTGTGATGCACAATGTAATCTTCTATTGATTAAAAAAATTATCGGATAGGATGGTTGAAAGTATTAAAGGAATGAAGAGGTTTCAGGAGAATCAAAAGGAACGTGGCCGTTTTTCTTGGATATGGCCATTGTTCTAGGAAGCTTGGTGTTAGAACAAGAATGAATAATGTCCAAACCATTATAAAAACAAAGAAGAGTTTTAATAAATTTGACAAAAGATTGGAAACTAAGAAGCTTTGGAAAATATAAGTATGCAAAGATGGAAGCTTAAGAAGTAGTTATAGAAGCTAAGCATAGAGTATGATGAGGTACAATGCATGGAGAGAAGTCTATACGAACTTGCTAAATTAACAGATTAGGGAAACTTAATTTTTGAGTAATGTTAAATTCTTCAAGAGTAACCCCAAGGAGATAGCATAATGGCAAGACTCTTGCCTCACATTGTGGAGATTGGGATGTTTTTGAGAAGTGTGGAGATTGGGAGTGTTAATCCCCTTGGAGCCACCCATAGTGATTTTTTCAGTAGTTGCCTGATGCATGAGGGACAGGAGGATCACATGTGACTGGTGGTGGGCTATGGTGTGCTCTAAGAGGCCCGACAACCATCGCCGATCAAAAAGGTATATCAAGAGTAAGAATCCAAGGGTCTACCAGTGGCTATAGCCTAGTGCTATCTCCTCTACCTTCCCAAGTGGAAGGTGAGGGTTCAGGTCCCCACAGGGGCAAATGGGTGTGTGAGTTTCTTGCCAAGGGAAAAAAAATTCAAGGGTCTTCGAGAAAATAGAGAAAGGTGGAAGAGTTTTGAGAAGTTAAAATATGGAATTCTTAGATTAGAAGAATATAATAACTTTATGGTGATCAAAGAAAACAATTATTTTTGCACGATCAAAGAGGTGGTGACTTTCTAACTTTTCAACGCCTCATTGACCGTTTCAAGCTTTTGAACCACTTGGAACATGGGGTTACTCTCAAGTTGGATATTTCATGCTTGTTCAGGTAAAAATTGCATCGAGAAAGATGAAAACAGAGAGGACTTTTGGTGCCTATGACATTCCTATTGAGGTTTTGAAGTGCTCAAGGAACAATTGAATGTCTTTGCTAACAAAATTATCTGATAAGATAATAATAACAGGAAACTGTCAAATGACTTGAACAAAAATAATTGTAGTAAGTAATTAAAAAGGATCTTCTTTAAATCACTTCTCTTATCAAAATTAATATGTTTTTTCAAACTTATTTCTTTCCGAAACTTGTTTTTACTTTTTCATGACCTGATATACATTCAACTTAGTGTTAGGTGGCAATTCCTAATTAATCTACATAAAATTCTAGTAATTCATACTTAATTCTTCATCACTTAAGCCTTGCTGGTTTTTGTTTAAATTTTTTCAGGGGTAAAATTTGAGGTGCAAAGCTTCCTTGTTTTCATGTAACATAGAAACAAAGTTCTTCGCCATTTAAAGTTGCCAAGATTCCATTCAATAAGTCTGTGATGTATATCGTGATATATTGCAGATATAACTTCGCATCTGTGTACATATCTGCTTGATTTTTACTTGAGCAAAATTGAAATATATGATATCAATCTGTTTATCATAGAACCAAAAAATGGATAGAAAGAAAGTTACAAAAAGGGAAAAACTGAATGTCATCAAAGAAATAAAAAAAAATTCTGAAATTGTTGTTGCTAATATCTCAAATGGCACTTAGAAACCATGACCAACTTGTCACAAAGAACCATACAAAAAACAAAGTTTATAATAAAAATTTAATTTAAATTTTGGGACCTACAGCCTAATAAAATCACATTTAAATGATTCTTTGAGACAGAAATATTGGGTTTGATCCGAAGGTATGAGAAAAGATCTCCAATAGTCAAATTCAACACTCCCACTTTATGTGCATTAGTTTCTTTACATGCCATTTTTTGATAAATTATGCATGATTGAAGGGCTAAGCTTTGAGCCTTTGTGTACTAGTTGATTGACATTAGAAACACAAATTAATGTGGAAATGGTTTCCTTTTTCTATTTTGAGCAAAATATAATTGACTGATGGGATCTTCAAACATCATGATTGACATGACTTTTCTCTGTAGGATCATAGAGCCTCTAGCTTCTAGATGTGCAAAGTTTAGGTTCAAGCCACTTTCAGAAGAAGTTATGAGTAGCCGTATACTGCATATTTGTAAAGAGGAAGGCCTCAATCTAGATTCAGAGGTGTGGATTGAGTTGCTCGATGTTTATTTCAGAAAATTTGTTTGTTTTTGTGTGCATGTGTGGCTGGGTGGGAGTGTTATGGAAATGCTTCTTGTATCTGTGTCCATTTTAACTATCTGTAAATGATGGTATGATCCATGTATGATTTTAGGCTCTTTCAACCTTGAGCTCTATTTCACAAGGCGATCTTCGTCGGGCAATAACATACTTACAGGTAAGAGGAAGTTTGCATTTTCTCCGTTCATGTGGTATGTTAATGATCATTTGTGTGGCCTTGTGCTTTTTTAGAATAAAATATTCTTGATGCATTTGATGGATGATAATCTGAAGTCATTTTTAGATGATTAACTGCATGTGTATTTAAAATGTTGGATTCAAATCTTTATTATGTGTGTTAATTCAATTTATCATACTAATTAAATATGCAATTTACGGTGTGACAGGTTTTGGAGAGTATTGATGGAAGTTTTTTTGGTTACCAACTTAAGAAAAACAGTTCAATGGAGTCAAAACCTTGTCCTAAGTTTTTGGCCTTGGCTTCACAAGTTCTTTTTGCTATGTTTTTTTTATCTGTTATTATATTGCACTTAAAAAAAATGCTCTCATGTCTTTTTACTAACTTACTCCACATTAATCTTGGTTGTCTTCTTGCCCTAGCTGCTAGCTTTATCTTGATGTGGACCAAGTCACTCTTTTCACTGATGCAATTAGTCTTCACTGGACATTACCAAATCATTTTTATCATTTGATAGGATTGTTTAATCTTAAATTGTCATATAGATTCATAATGATCGATTTAAGGATGTGTAGTTGGATACTTTATATGCTTTACAAAAACGAGTTTTGTGTAAGGTCAAGTATACTGATTTCTTTGTTATAGTGGTAACTTAAAGTCCCTTTTCAACTATAATTTTTTACTTTTATTACTAGTTCCGTGTACTGCCTTTAGTAACAGAGCTTGAGTTATGATGTCGTTTGTCATGGTTCTGATCAAGCTTATATAAAAAAGAGGAAAAAAAAGAAAGAAAAAGAAAGTCATATTCTGATCCCTATTGCTATGTTTTTTATTGGAACAGGGAGCTGCTCGCTTATTTGGATCATCAATATCTTCTGAGAACTTAATCAGTGTGTCTGGGGTAAGTTAACAATACTTGAATTTTCAGAACTTGTAATTTCCTGTGAGTATTCTCCCAAAAAAATAAAAAATAAAATAACAATCCTTTTCTAGTAAAAATAAAGAAAAGAACTTCTTACATTTTTCATTGATTACAAGACATGGAATTGTTGGGATAAACGATTCAGTTTGAAAAATGGGCAAAGGGTTTGGTGGCATCAGTTCTTTATTTTCTTACCTCCTTCAGTTCGGGTTGCTTTAATACTGAAAGCTCTTTGCAGACACAATTTTATTTGATGATGGGCATTGGTCCAACCAAGTCAGTTTTTTTTTTTTTTTTTTGGGTCAAATCAGCTTGATGACATGTTGGGCAAGATTCTTTGTGTCTGAGCCATGCATTATGGATAGATTTAATATAGTTTGAGCTGATGCTGTTTGAATCTTACATAAGTACGTAGAGATTTTTGCTTCAAAAGGGGCAGTGAAGACATTTTAGTTCTCTTGCTTTATTGTTGGTAACTGGATACAAATTTGAATTTTTAAATATTGCAAACAAAAATAGCAGTTGGTTTGCATATAGATTAGAGGGTGTAACTTTAATATTTAAATCCTCTAACTAGAATAAAGTTTTCTGTTGAAATTGAATTCTCAAGATCAAAACTAATAATTCTGGTTGTATCAATTAGTGAATTCCCCCCTTTCTTTTTGCTTCAAATTTCTGCTTTTGCTTTTCAAAAAGCATTCTATGGAGAACTTGACCTTTGAGTTTGTTGGAAATATATTTATCTATTATATGTCTACATACGCATATGATTTAGAATACATGAATTGGTCTAGGACAATGAAAAGTCAAGAAGATGTACTAAATAGCAATGATGTAGCGAAGTCTTGTATAAAGGATTAAGTGTCTCATGTCATGTAATCTCTTAAACATATAAAAAAATTAAGTATTTTGATAAGAAGTCGAGCCTCCTAATTCATCTTTACACATTTCTTTTGGTTTATATATGCTTCCATTGCGTCTCCAACATAGTTTAACTTTTAGAGTAATAGTCACTGTCGACAAAGCTATTCTGTTATATGTTTCAACCCAAACACAACTTGTTTATTATTGGTGTCAGAAACCCTTGGCACAAACATGACTCATCTATTAAACAGATAACACATGTATCCTATTTATTTAATATTAAATGGATCTTGTAACCTGTGACACTACACTACCCATTTAATAACCTATTTAGTATTTTTCTTAATTATAATATGCAACTATAACAAAGAAAATTAAAATATTGAATGAAAATTTAAGAAATGACTAAAGATTCCATTTAATCTTAATAAATTACACAACTAATTAACTTGGTTTTCATAATAATACAATGCATTAACAAAAATAATCGTATTTTTTAAAAATATGTTAGAATTTGATTAACGAGTTGACATGACACGTTTAACTAAACATGTCTATTGAAGGACTTAACTATTAAAGTTACACCCTATATAATAGCTTAAGCTATAGGTGGTTGTAACATGGTATCAGAGCAGGCAAAGTCCTATGTTCAAACTTCACGTGTGTTGACCAAAAAGAAGGCCCCACATGAGGGGGCTTGTTGAAGGATTTAACTATTAAAGTTACACCATCTATAACAGCTTACGCTTTTGGAGTAGATGGTGGTTAACAATATCAAATCAGGTTGACAGGTTGAGTCCCCAAACCCGAACACGACACGATTAATTAAATTGGTTAATTATTGACCTGCGATCAAGATCAACCCCAACCCACTAATTTTGTGTTTGTGTTCGATTCATGTTGATGACAGGTCATGTCTAATTTTGCCACCCCTGCCTGATTCAGATTTCAGAGTGATAGACTTATTATTAAAACAAAACGATCTAGATGAGTTCATAGTTAGATTGCAAAGGATGAGACTCGCAGCACATTCGGTTGTGGCTAAATTTAGCCTTCTATAAGCATATATATTTTTTTAAAGACCTCTCTTTATATTTTTGGTGGTTAATCACGAGTCACCTTTTCCAAGTTCTAGAGTTGAAAAGATTGGAGAAAAAAAATCCTGTTATGGACATGTCTAGAATTATAAATGGTATCCTATGTGTTAAGAACCAAAGGGAAACAGATATCTTGTTGTAGGATGTTTCATATTCCGTGTCCCAATATTTCAAGTTGTAGAGCTTAATTGATCTTGTGCAAATTATGTACTTTTTAATTGATTTGTTATCAAGCATTATCAATTGAAGGAAATTCGAGCAGATTGAAGCACCATTCCTGTGTGTGGGTTTAGACTTCGAAATATGCTGACTTCTAAAATTTTTATTGATCAGGTTATCCCAGAGGAGACTGTTCAAGCTCTCTTTGCAGCTTGCAAAAGTGGAAATTTCGATTCAGCGAACAAGGAAGTCAATAATGTAATCGCAGAGGGATATCCAGTTTCTCAGATGCTTTCCCAGGTCCCATTGTTACTATTTTTTATCCATGCTTCAACTGCTTTCCTATTGTTAAATATTTTTTAGAACTGATATTTTGTGTCTTCAGATATTTGAGATAGTTGTCGAAGCTGATGATATATCAGATGAACAAAAAGCAAGAATTTGCAAGAAACTTGGTGAAGCAGATAAGGTCGCTCTTGTCAAATTGTTTATTTAGTACTACAAACAGTCTGCAACAAGATTCCGATGATTTTTATATGGTTTCAGGATCCCTTGTGCTCTAAAATAAAATAAGTTTGGGAGTATCACTATATTCTTAGTCAAGAAAATGAACCTTGCAAACCTTAAAATATTATGATTTGCCTGTATCTAAAACAATATCCAGATAATGGAAAGTTTAGAAAGCTCCCCTCCTTTGATGATCTAACCATTAGGGTCATTTCCAAATGCAATGACAAAGTGGCTGAATAGTTTTCTCTTCATTATTGATGTCTTAACCAAAATTTAGTTGGTGAAGTGTTCATCAGATATAAATACACACACACTTATGTTTGAGAGGTTCTCAGGTCATTCATGCTTCTCTCTCTTATATGCTCCCTAAATTTTATATTACTTACTAGATTTTTTTTTTTTGAACTGATGGTTATCTTCTTCTTTTTACCTTGTCTATCGCATATAATTTAAAGTGAAGATATTTTCCAGCCGAATATTTTAAGGCACTTTTTTTTATACTTTTGTTCTTGTGGGATCTGCAGCGTCTTGTTGATGGAGCAGATGAGTATTTGCAGCTGTTGGATGTGGCCAGCAATACTATGAGGGCACTTTGTAACCTGCCAGAAGAATTTTCCATTGAGAATTAGGTAAGAGAGTGAAGTGACTGAGTTACAGCTTATTATCTGTCCGATCATGTCAAAGAACCGCTCGGAATATTTTTTTTATATGCAAATCATTTCCATGTTTTTGGGGACTAAAATACCATCATTCCAAGTACATGTTGATATGATTGCATTATTGTTCACTGTGGCATTACCCCCTCATTATAATATCTGTGACATTAATTTAATGTTCAAATGTTTCCAAATTCAAACATAGATCCAACGAACGTTGTGGTGGCTATTGTTGCTTAGTTTTATTTTGACCATACAGGTTAGATCTCTCTCATTGCAATTTTTGGCCCACCATGTCTGCAAGTGGCATGGATGCATGAACCCCTACATTGGCCAACCATTCTGACTCAACTTGGGTTCGAATCCCAGACCCTACCTAAATCAAATCCGGTGTGCTGTACAAACTTGTCTCTAGCTGTATGACTGTAACCACACTCAAAGTCAAAGGACGTCCAATTAAATCGTGGGTTTGTTTGGTTTAGTTTTCTCTTCTCAGAGAATTATTGTAGAAAACAAAAATTGACGTATTGAATATGAAAATGAAGAATATTTAGTCAACGTACTCAGTAATATACTTTGGATTTCATTTTTAGGGTAATGAAAGTGCTTCGGATCGAATTCGTATTTTTCATGAAAAATGAATTATTATGAGTTAATGCCATTTATGTGCGTGCTTTTGATACGAGGAGAGAGCATAATGTGCTGGTTACATGACAAAATCGTCAGAATATTACTAATAGTAGTAATAGTATATGAGGCTGTTTGAGTATGCATACAGATCCTTTATTTGGTGTTTTTTAAACGATGAAGTGAGTGGGATTGAATTATATGTCCAAGATAAAGTATAGTTGCATGGATCGTGCTGTATGACGTGCGAGAATATTCCACACCCCTGTAATTATTTAATGATCTAAAATAAACATCACGTCCTTTCATTAGAAAAATAAAATAGGAAAATTTTAGTATGCATCTAGTCTCTTGTATCACTGGGCCCATGTTGAAATTGTGCGCTCGTGGCTTCAAGAATTCATCAAATTTTTTGAAGTATTCATTCACACGGGTATAAAATTTAAGTCACACAAAGTAGGAGTGAGAGCAAGAGCATGTCTATAATGAGAGTGCTTGCGTGGAGCCTGAGACTGAGAGTAGAAGTGTGCACAGAATCGGAGCTTACCGTGAAAGCGACATTTGTTTAAAAGAATACAAACGTGAAAATAACATTTATTTTGACATCTATTTTAAAATGAAATCAAAGCACAAGTCTTCAATCATTCATTGCTTTAAAACGACAGTACATAAGATATTACATATGATGTTTTCATGACCGAAACCAAAAAATAACTAACCTAGTATAATAATACTACGTTATTTTCTTTTGATAATTAATTAAGAACACACTAACTCGAATAGCCTCACAGAACTAATTATCCTATAAACCATCTTTATATGAAAGACAATTGGAGAAAGAGAAGTACTTATACTCCAACAAACAAAAATTAAGCTGATTAATTGAACAATGCAGGTGAAGACCAACAAGACATATAATGTCATCATATTAATTAATATCTATCGGCTGCTTTACTTTTCCATTGACAGGTCTGACTAAGTTTCTCACTTTAGAAAAAAAATATCTTTCAACAAATTGATTAGGTTAGCTTCAACGTTAAACAGATTTTTGTCCCACTTCGAATCTGAATAGAAAAAGCTTGAGTTTGCAAAGGCGACTACGTAAGAGTTGAATGACAAACGTTCAACTTTATTTAAGTGATATCAAAATGGACGTAATTCTTGATTCAATGTTAAGCCAAACATTTTATATGGTTCGTGTCTGGTCTCGATCGTTATAGGATCCTCATGTCTTTGGAGAAAGGGTAATCGGGGTGATCCTCATGTCTGGCCTCAATCGTTACGACTACGACTGGTATCATGCGATCCTCAAGCCTAAGCCTTCCCTAGGAGTGGCCCAAGTGTGTGGTATGATTAGGTCAAATTCATTAAAATTTCTACAATAATAATAATAACAACGCAATCCTTGTTTTAATGTCAAGCCAAAAATCTGTGTAGTCTCAATCATTACAAAATCCTCATATCTTTGGTAAATGGGTAAGCAGAGTGATCCTCATGTCTGATCGGGATCCTCAAGCCTAAGCCATCCCTAAGGGTGATCCTAAGTGTGTGGTATGATTGGTCAAATTCACTAAAATTTCTATTCACTTTTGTTTGTTGCCCATTATTATCATTGATGAACTTGATGCCCATTTGGAGTTTTGGTTACAGTTCAAAAGTGTTTTTAATTTGACAACTTCATTGAACACACCATACCATACGATGTTTTACAAGTAAAAATTGATGAGATTGCCAAACACACACTTAGGGAGATACATGGCATGTGACTGAAATTGATGTGACGCCAGACAGACACTATACATGACAACTGACCCAAAGTTAAAGCCGGGTCTAAGAAGGTACAATTATTCATATAAAAGATCGTGTGGTACATTAAATTCAGGATTTGATAATCAAATTTGGTAGCTCATAGGATTAACAACTCTTTGGAACCTAATAAATTACTAATTTAGTATTCCTGCGGTCCTATATTAATAATTCATTATTTTCTTTTTATATGTCTCAAATTAATTCCCCTCTTTAAAAAGTCAAAGTAAATAAATTATATATTTCTATCATTATTTTTTATTTTTTTTAAAAAGTTCAAACTTTGTAACTATATATATTTAAATTATAAGGGCAAGTTAATAATTTTAAAAGGTGATGATGCATTAAATGCATGTTCCCTTAAAAACTCAAATTTCTAAAAATGGATCTCTAATATGGGATGGAAGGAGTAATAAAGATCAATTTAAGTTACTCTTCCATTCCAATTTAGTTATTCATCTTTTTTTTTTTTTGGGTTGTCCCAAAATATTTATTCACTTATCAAGTTTAAATAACATATTTTACATCTTTTTATAAAATATCCTTAAAATTTTAAAAAAATTCAAAATTTATTATATATATATATTTAAACTTGAAATGCTAGCTTTGTAATTTTTAAAAGAAACAATGCAATAATTGCACGTTCTCTTAAAAAGTTTTATTAGCCAAAAAGACCATATAATATGAAAGAGAGAGTAATAACTTGATAATTTTAATATATTCTACTTTTTATATATGTAATTTCTTGTATTTTTTTATTATTATTGTAATTGAAGTTGATAACGTGGACTTTTTCCTTTCACTTGACAAATACAAATATTGGTTAGGTTGGTTCCAAGGACCACGTGCGGCAAAAAAAAACAGAGAAAAAAGAAAAAAGAAAAAAAAAAAAAAAAAACTAGGTCTTCTTAAATTTCTTTTTTTAAACATGGCTCTTGTTTAGTAAGCAGGCATTTTTTTTAAGCCCTTGGGTGCCATGACGGCATTAGACACGGGACGAACTCAGAAAATTAAGTGTGGGGCCAATGATGAAATTTTTAGTAATTTTAAAGGAGTGCAATAGTAATATTTCATGAGTATATAATTAAAAAAATTAAATTAATAAGGGTAAACTACTATATAAAAAAAAAAAAATCAAGAGACAGTTGCCCGGTCAATCCATTAGGTCGTTCTTATTGATATTTGAATATTTTATATTTTGATTGTACATTATTCGAATGTCATTTAAACACAGCAAGAATATTTTCAGTCTTTCAGAACACTGCGGGTGATTCTGTAATTATATTTTTAGATAAATAAAAATTATTATATATATTTTTATTATTTCTACCTTATCATCCATATTTTCTTAATTTTATAAGATCTGTCATATTCGGTATTATAACGTACTCTTTTTCGTGCTTGGTCAGTGATACATGACAACTATTTTTTTATTATATTTTTTTACACAGGTGTTTTTTATCCTTAAATAACATCGATCCCTATTAACTTCTTTTAGACTACACCATTATTTAATCAGATGACACCCCCTAATCAAACAACCTTATCAAGCTCACACTCATCAAACCCACCCTTTACTTTTACTGTTTACTCTTTGACGGTAATTTATTAACAAATATAAATTACTTACCTTTTTATTAATTGAAGGAAAGTTTTATATATTTAATTCTGAATTTAATCAAGAATCTCATAGTTAGTGGCATTTCATGTATCTTTCGAAATAGATAGAGAAGGTTCGTGTTTTTAAAGGAGAAAAACGGATATATAAATTTCTTTGTCAATAAAGAAAAAATAAAATAAAATAAAATAAATAGACTAGATATTTTCTTTCCTATTCATAATTTTTCAACAGATTACACAACTCAACAAAGTCTTTAACTTTTATTACACAATTCATTGATTACTGAATTATAAAATTAGAGAAAGTGATGGTGTACGGAGCAAAGACTTGGGCGTAGCAAAATAAGATAAATAATGAATGTACGAGGGGCCACGTTAGGTGTGAGAAGAGAAAAAAAAAAAAAAAACATTAGGTGATAAAATTAGAGAAAATAGAATTAAGTAGTAGCGTCAAATTCAACATATACATGATGATGCACGTATTAAAACAGAAAAAATTATTTATCTAAAAAGTAAGTGAAGGTTGACCAAAACATTCATAAGATAAGTAATAAAAAGCATGGTTAATTTAAGTTACACCCTTTGAGATATGTCTTAACTTCAAGGAGACCCCTTCACGTTTGTAAAATTTTAGTCAGATTCCCTGTTAGATATTGTCGGCTGACAAAAAATAATAAATGAATGAAATGACTAAATTGTCATTTTGTCGTTTTCCTCTTTACACTTAACCAAACCAAAGTTTGTGTAACTTTAACCTAATTTTGCTTTATCTTGTGAACCAAACACCTTGTAATCACAGTGGCCAAATACTTCAATCCACTTTACTTCGTTAACCCAAACTTAGGTTTTGGAAATTCATTTGGTCAACTAACCCTAAATAGAGAGGTAGAGAGATGAGATAACCGAGAGATATAACCCTAGATTCGTATGTGAAGACATCAATTTTGGTTGATACGTACACCAAATACGCTTGATCAAACAACATATCTGCAGATAGTTGAAGGTCCGAAGGGGAAACATTTGTTTGATTTGAAGCTGTTGAGAAAAATCACGATTTAGAGGTATGGATTTTGTCTTTCTAAAAATTGATTTTGGTTTTAGTTGATAGGGGGTTTCGGGTTTG